AAGTTCATTTTGACAAAGTCAATATTTTCCTATATAAACATCAATCGCACTGATGATGGTTCATTCGGAATCGAAGTATGGCCTTATTTTCAGCATGAATTCGGAAAATAAGTTTATTTTGAATTTCAATAAACTAAACGTTCACCAAAAAACTTTAGTGAGAAAAATCGAAAAAATGAACTACAAACATGTTAACGCCAAACATTCGGTAGAATTTATAGAATATTGTAATATATATATATATATATATATATATATATATATATATATATATATATATAGAGAGAGAGAGAGAGAGAGAGAGAGAGGATAAATAATGTCAGAAATGCAATTAAATATGCGTTGTTTATAAATTTCACAGGATTGCAGGCTTTGCTCAATTTGCAAATGAGTTTTCCAATTTTTCGTACGACGAGTTTCAGTTATTTATCAAATTATAAAACAAATATTTGTTTTATGTTTTAAAAGATTTGATTGTAAATGAATTGATTTACAATATCAAAAAAGAACATGTAAACACGTGTAGAAGTTTATTCGAAGTAAATTAACAACCTAATAATAAATTATTTTAAATGGTAGAATCACAAATTTCATAACATTTTAGAATAATCAATTATTGTTGAGGTTATTAAATATTTGTAGACTGTGAAGTTTAATCTAAAATGAAATACAACAAAATATAAATGAATGATACCATTCACGGCACACGAAACAAGTAAATGAGAACTGGACAATCAGTTCACCTTATTCAAAACAGATTCCAATTTATCACTGGCAATCACTTTATCAACTGTTGAACACGATGTCATATTAAAAATGCAAACATTCACGAGTTATGAAAATGTGTGATCAGGTGATGCACGAGAAATTATGCGGTAGGATTCAGATAAATCTCACATTCACATATACTAATACTATGAATACTATTTGTGCAAAAGTGTAAAAGTATCAAAGGAAGTAGAAGTAAATATTAACATTTTAATATGAATGCCGATAAAATATGCAAAAAAATTAACATAAAGTTTGTTCTCGGATACGATCAGTTTATCGGTATTTTTTAATGCTCGTGCATTCCTATCCTCGTACATTCGAAATCATTTCTGAATCGATGATGGAAACGAAGTCCACGAAAACAAAACAAACACATACAAACACAAACCCCACTAATAAATACAAACATACACATACGCAAATACAATCACACACACATACACTAATACAGTCACACACATATAAACACAAATAAAAAACACACAAATAATAAAAACACAAATAAATAAATACAAACATATACCAATAAAAACAAACACACACACAAATACATTGAACAAAATTTTTACAGTAAACCAGATTATGGAAACATTATTCAAAACATTAAAAAACAGACTAAGGACAATTTCGCAGACAAATAAGAATCAATAAAATGAAGTTGAATATTGAAATTTACAAGATATCCACTTAACAGGAAATGAGTTTCTCAAGTAGAGGTATGCATTATAATTCGAGAAAGTTACGTATTCCACATTTAACAAATTTTTCTTTATCAAAATTAAAATGCTGCTGCTTCAAAAGTGAAAGCAGAGATGACAACGCGAGTAAGAAATTACACATAGTTACAGGGTGATAACAATATATATTGAAAACTATTTTTAATCTGATAGAATATAATAAATCAAACTTTGAAATATAAGCAAGTGGTTGATCACTGTTACAACAACTTTAAAACAACGCTAATTCAGAATAGAAACAAATTAATGTCAGGAAAGAAAAAATGGAGCGGAACCCACATATATAAAAAATAAATAATGCTAGACAATCCAGACAAACAGAGTAACATATAAATATTAACTAAATAACCATGAAAATAAATTATCGTAAGATTAAAAACAAGTTGATAAATATTTGATGAATAATCTTAAAGTTGATAAGTTAAGAATGATGCATGAAATTCAACAAATTACAAAAAGTTTTCGAAATATTGTCCAAACAAAAAAAAGTACAATATTTCAGTTGTATGGTAAACGCTGGGAGAATAAACTAGTTTGCCTTTCAGAACTCCTAAAAAGTCTAGTGGTCGTTCATATATATGAATGTAGTAGCAAACATATGATTTAATATTCTAATATCTATCTATATGCCCGTAAACACATTCGTGTTCGAATCAGTGACTGGTCCTTCAACTACAACCATCAGAAAATCAACCAAAAATATAATGACACATTGAATTTGCGAGCGCTTTCGAGAACATTTAAAAATAGGGCTATAGTATCTGCTAATAATAATATTAAAAACAACATTAACAATAACGATAAACATGTACATTACATGTTTCTTTATGCGCAAACATTGAATGTATTCAGTTTACGCAATCGATTCTAGAGATGAAAGAAACGTGAAAACTCAAGTCACTTGAACAACATTTGAAAAACGAGGAAGATAATATAGAGACCAAGTGATCTTATTTACCGTTATGAGAATTGTTGCAAAACGAAAACAAGTTATTTTTACTGTAAAAAAATTAAAAAAAACTTTTAGTTTCATTTTATCGAACGTGAAAGAATAGAATGATTTTAAAATTTTAGGGTAGATATAACGAGTTACACTCACTTGGTATTTAAAAAAAGTGGAATGCTTTTTGAAAAAGGGAGTGACCAGAAAGTTACACGGCATCATAGCCCACGTATTTTTAAATCTCAAATTGTTATTATATAATTATAACTAAACTACCACGTATTTTCTAACAAATTTTACAAAAAATTCATTTTATTCCCTCAGGTCCAAAAAAACCTTAAATTATTTAAATCAGATTTTTTTAATTCTTATATTTTGATTCAAATTCAGGACTGAAAAGATTAAATTTTAATGGAAATAGATATAATATCTATAGGTCAGAATTGAATTTAGGTAGATTTTAATAATATTACACTCTACGGTGTTTTTAATAACTGAAAATAACTAAATTTTAATTTATTTCATTTTTATTTTTACTGTCACATTATTTATAAATTTTATTCATTTTTAATATTTACATATAATATAGATTAAATAAAAACACCTAACAAGTAAAACTAAACTTAGAACTAAATTGCATAAGAGGCTGGTTAAAATTTGCAGAAGAGGTTGCTCTAAGTTTCAAGTTCTCAAATTTTAAATTCTCGTTTGAGCTCACCAGAATAAAAATCTTTTCAAAAATCACATCATAATTATTAAAAAAAATACCTTTTCTCGTTGGAAGACATTAAAATTTGCATTTTCTGTCACAGCAATTTTTTTTCATCAAAATTTGAATTACATCTCAAACTAAATTCCGCAATTACGTTTAAAATTAATAGTTAGGGAACGTACAGATTGACAGAACCAAAATCAAGTTCACTCAAAAAGAGGATCATTTGAAGCGTTTTCTCTTAACGCCGCCTGATTTTCCGCAAAATTGAAATTTCAAAGAAACACCAAGCCATGTTTATTTTAACTCTTTTCAAAAAGATGGAGAGATGGCGAACAAATTTTAAAGACAGTCGAATGACACGTTACAAACATTCAAGAAGATTCAGCGACACGTTACAAAGATTCAAGAAGATTCAGTGGCGGATTTAGTAGTATTATTAAAAGTTAGTAAAAATAAGGTTTTTACACAGTTAAAGTATAGAATGGACCAAAATTGGCGTGATAAGCAAAATCAAAAAAGTAGGTAGACTAATAAACTTTGACCACTTTTTCCTTAGCCCCCGTCAAATTTGGAAAATTTCAACATGCTTACAATTTTGGAATTAATAGTTCAGAGTCAAACATTGTAACAAATTGCACATATTGTGGCAAAAAGTTTGATTTTTCTAATTGTTAAAAACCAAATAAAAAAGTTAACGAACACATATTTGCAATTGAGATAAAAAGCAGATGGTCTCAGATGGTCTCAGATGGTTTACTCGAATGTATTCAAGCAGGTGTTTCTGGAAATTTTTGATATTCCGTATTTTGTGTAAATAATTTAAGCAATCGGTGGGTGAAAAAAATAAAATTTTGTTAAATGTGCAGAAATGTCGAATTTGTTTATTTTGATGAAGCTTTCCGAAACAGTGCTGCTCCATCCATGGAGGATGTTTCCTCGTGCTTGCTGGAGATCGTAGACGTAGCCCACTCGAAGAATTCTAATAAAAATGAACGACGTATAGAACGCAACAAAAATTTCTCGCCTCATAAGAGTAATTGTTCCGCGCTACTGAGATTGGTCTTATTGCTGTTTGTTTCGTTTAAACTTGAGGTGAGGTTTTCAGCGGGAACGAGGTTCATGTTGGCAAGTTCCTCGTCAAATGTTGAGGTGTTGTTGTCCCCCGAACTATTAACATTCTCGTCCTGACTGTGTTGAAGGATAAAATTACTGAACACCACGCTGCAGTTGTTTTGTATTTCATCATCTCGAAAGATGGAGCTGTTGCCTTCATGTTGCTGCAGGGAGTTGTTTGCGTTGGCGTCATTGCAAAGGATTACGCTATTATTATTATTAATGTTGTTGTTATAATTAAAGTTATTAGAAAGTGAATTATTGACGTCTGCGACGAGATCTCGACTGGCAGGAGTAATGTTGGGGCCACAGCTTTCCCTCATGAGTTCCATCAGCACGTGCTCGTACGCTGGTGGTGGCTCCTCGCCATCTTCGCACAAAAGTGTTGAATTGTCGTCCAACCTCTGAATGACGAGGTTCGACCGCTTCTGTTGGGGCAGGAGTTGCTGGTACGGCGGAGGGGTTAAATGTGATTTGAAATAATAATTGTTGTTGTTAAGAAGAACATCGCTGTAGTTGCCATTGTAATGAGTAATAATTCTGGAAGATCTGGTCGCGGCACCACTACAATCTTCTTCTTCAGCTCTCCTCCCCATCCGAACATCTGCCATTCCATCACTGGACACCATCATCATCAGAGCCGTGTTTGGAGTGGCTGACCTGTTGAGTCTACTTTGCTGTTGATTCTGTTTTCGTCGTCTTCTTCTGAAATGTATAATTAATCTTTGACCTCCTGCTAACAGTATGGCCAGTAGAAAAATCATGCCTGTAACTGCTGCGGTAACATAAAATATTGTCAGAAATGTCTGCCAACCAAAACTGTAATTAGAGTTGTTTGAATTTTTAAATTTGTTGTTGCGTTGTAAATATGAGCTCAATCTAGGGTCGGTGGGATCTGTGGGAAAATGAATAAAAGTTATTATTTTCAACTTCAAACAGATAAATAAGCTTATACACACGGATGAAAGAACGAACGCACGCACGCACGCACGCAGTCACATCACATATAAATTTAAATATTTAGATAAGTAAAAAAAATATATGTATATGTATGTATGCATATATATATATATATATATATATATATATATATATATATATATATATATATAGGGAGAGAGAGAGAAAGAAAGAGACTTACCGGTGCCAGAAATAGAATAGTAATAGCAATAGTAGAGAAGTGTTGTATATTTTGGGTTTCTGATGATGCGTGGATGGAAACCTTCAGCTTTGTTATAATTCATCACCCATTCATCCACCCAATACAACCACTCTTCTCGTACCAGCATATCTTGAACCTAAATGTAAAAGGTTTTATTGAGCAAACATCTAACTGAAAAAATTCAATAACGTGTATTCGCGGACTTGATCTAACAAAAATTTATACGATAAATTAATTATGTTAAAAATTTATCGATGCGAATCAAAGAATTAGTGCTGTGGCGGATTGGTGCTAACAAGGTTCATGTCACGAGAAAGCAAAAATATGCCTTACTAACACCAATAAGAATGGTGCCTGGCTGTTTTTGCAAACCAATGTGCATGAAGATAGGAGCTGTCCATGTTAGTTTTTTTGACTGAAAATCTATTGATTGTTGTAACCAAATGAGCGTTTATTTATTGCTAGCCATAGTAGCCAGTGTCGAAGACAGTGTCGGTCAAAATTTTTGACGGAGTCGGATATTTTTTATCCGACTCCGACTTAGGAAAATGTTAATTGTTTATTTTTTAATAAAAAAAAATTTTTAAGATCATGTTTTTTAGAAGATAAATATGTGTAGCAGCAATATGCAATCATCTTTAATACTAAAAATAGATGCTAATAGTGTCAATAAAACCACATAATTTATTTTTGTATGCTCTGAAGCATAAATATAAAGTAATTTTACTAAAAAAACAATTACATAGACTGATTTTAAGTTTTTTAAAATGATAATAAGGTAGAATTATTACGCATACGCATAAGTTGAAAATTATTTTTAGGAGTCGGGACCCGGAGTAGGAAATTTTTACCTGGAGTCTGAATTTTTTGAGGGGCTGAAGTCGGATATTTTCGACACTCTGGCTGGTCAGAGTTGCTTAATTGAAGGGAAAAATAAATATTCAAACAATATTCAAACTTAATTAAAGGTTTAGCAAAACTGCCGCCTGTTAGAGCCCCATTAGCGACCATAATAGTGCCAGTGACAGTTTAATAATTAAATGGTTTATATTTTTATAATTATTATCGCGTATGAGAGAGTTAATACGGCTAAAAGTAAACCATAACAAAACAAAAACTATGATCACCGGTGGTACCGCTGAGCCTGTGGTCTCTGACTATGTTCGGTGTGTGGGACTGGAGTTGGAAGCAACTTGATTAAATGCCTACAATGTCAGCAGTGGTGTTACAGACGATGCTCAAGAATTACCGGCTCATTGAGGAAAATGATTGAGCCCCGCCTGCATCAATCCGCGAAAACGGGGCCCAAATGATGATACGATTACCGGGATCGAAACTGTTACTTCATTTCAGTATTTGGGAGATGTGCTGGATTGTAGGTTTTCAACTACCTCAAATCAACTTAACTGCAATAGTGAGCCTAAAACGATTTTTAGCACTTCGCCTTTTTGTTTGTTTTTTTTTTTATTTTAAACAAATACTATTAATTAATTATGTTAGTATATAAGTATGTGAGTCTTCTTGTTATATATTGTGTAAATTGTGTTTGCATGTATTTTAGAATTGGGTATAGGAACTAAACGTCTTGCCTCATGTTTTCTCACAATAATAATAATAATAATAATAATAATAATAATGAAAGAGCGAGTTGATGAGATCGCGTTCTATAACAAGTTCATGCGGTTGTAGTTCTAAACGTCGTGAGTTCGTCTGTCTCAAAAAAGTTAACCATAAAAACCGATTAAATATCAAATGAACCTCTTGACAGGTGTCTCCATACTGTAGCAAGTAGAACGGTTGTTGCGTCGGTAAGATTATTGGAACACTGGCTTGACCATCGACACGGCAACAATATTCAATTTTTGTATTGCGATTAAAAGTGCCATCCGGTAACGTACCTAATGAAAAAAAAATTGATTTAATTGACATAGAAATTTGTTGATCCAACGCAGTGATTTCAAAAAGGCGCGTTATTAAATGACAAAAAATCATCACAGCACACTTATTCATGAAATTGTTCAATTTCAGTTCAATTTAGTATATGATGCTGGCAGATCTAAATATGGCAAGAGTGAACACCACCCACTGAAAAGTTGAATGATACAAACTGACATGATTAAACAATTTCTATCAGGGTGTCGAGTTCAGATCAAAAAATGACCGATTCCGACTTTGATGGAAAATTTACTAAGTCGTCAAACTTTGCTTTGCATCTTAAAATGAAAGATACTTTGAAAAGCATTATTACTTGTCGCTTTTTCTTGGTGTAATTATTTTATATTTATTATATAAGTATTCTGTATTTATATTTTTAAAAAAGAATATAATAAAAATATTCGCATTATTAAGAAATGCATATTGTTCAGAGTTGAATAAAAATATTAAAAAATGGTACTTGAACAAAAAAAACCTGATGACATCTGCGTAGTTGTCCAAAGCCAAGAACCACCATCGTCCCAATATATCCACCCATCTTTGAACATCAAAGGACATTTGCCCTTCTTGAATATGCAATATTTGCCTGAAAATTTTAAAATTGCATTTTATAAGGATTTTATAATAAATCAACCAAACTGTTTATTACAAGATATCCCGAATAGTACCAACTTCATTTTGTTACTTTTTTTGTGTAAGTCTGTGTTTCCCGACATTTTTAAGGTGTTGGCCACTTCTAAAAAACTAAATAACGTTATGACCTCATCTGCCTCCATCAAATGCCGATTTGACAAAGCTGAATCCATTACTTCAGATTTATTTATTAGTACAGCTCCATATAGCACATCGTTCACAATTACCAATTTTTTGTTCACGAAAGCTAAATTTATATACCACTGAAATTGCAGAAATTTTTCAAATCTAATGAGATGGTTGCTGGCGTTTTTTTTTTTATCTCAGTTTCTTATGTAAGGTTCTGTAATGAATCAGGCCACGCTCATGTCTATTTCTATGTTTAGTTTTTGGTCAAAAATGTCAAGTGTAATCCAGATTCGCCCCCGTTGTGACTATGCCTGATTTTAAACCGAAGAGGCGTAAAAATCCTTCTTTTTACGTAAGTAGGTAGTGGTAAATCAATGCCCACATCACTTGTTTGAAAAATTTGGACGCATATATTTTACATGCACTAAAGCTCTTCTGTCCGTTTCAATCAAATCAAATTTGGCTCTTAAAAGTTCAAGATCAGATGAATTTTTTTTGATTTCATTTTGTTCAGAAACTTTATCCACACTAATGTCAAAGGAATTTCGCTTTAAAAAATCATTTGCCATGTTTTCAATAATAAAACACCGCATTAAAAATGTTGTGCCGTGATGTGTTGTGACATTTTTTCCTCTATTTCCGCTAGTGATGAAAATTAGCAAGGTTTTCAGCTTCTACTTTTTTTGTTCAGTCAGACCTTATTTAAAAATCTTAATAATTTTTTAGTCACACTTATAGTTGTAATTTTTGATTTAAGTTTAGTTAGTAAATTACCACTAGGCACGACAATAGAGCATACAGCGAGTATAAGTTGCTTAAGGAAAACTAACTCTAATTAAATAAAGCAGCAAATCGGGACCTAACATATATGGTGCACCATCCGCTTGAACAAAATTTAACATTGTTAACAAATCAGACTTTTTTATTTCAAAGAATTTTTTTTACAGTCACCAATTTATTTTCAATTCATTTGAATGCTCGCGCAATTGCTTGCTCCCTTTCTAACAACGTCCATTTAGTTGGGTCTCATCTCAGGCATTTATCTACAAAAATACTCCCTTTATATTTCAAGATATGACTCCTAGAAAACACGACATTTAATGCATGTTGACGGCTGAAATCTGGAACTCTCATCCAGGTATTTCACGTAAGCAAGCCTCTAGTTCAAGAAATTATTGACTCAGGGCAAAATTTTAATGAATGACTTTGGAATAACAAAACAATGACTGGCAGATAATCCACTGCACAACATCAGTCACATCAGAAACATCCTATTTCGACATAGGAAACTGTATGTTGCTACCGTTCTGAAGTGATAATGATGCCTCTCATGTTCTCACAGATGATTAATGTTGCCACATGGGAAATCGAACAAGTGTAACATTTTATAAACAGAAGTTTAAATTAAGAGAGATTTATAAACTTTGTGTTACATATTGGAGATGAAAATATATAAGACGATAATTAATTACTGTATATGAAGATAAAACATTTAGTTGTACATTAAATTTTTTTTAATGTCGTTTCAATGAAACTTTTATAAACATATTGAATTTTTTAATATTTCTTTGAAAATTTGACGAAGATAAAAAAAAGAGGAACCTGGCATGAAATGAGCACCATTATCATCAGGTGCTGACTGATCAACTTTCATGCAGACTTCCTGTATGACATGTTCTGTTTCATTGGGACTCGAACCAGCCAGCTCAGAGAGCTCAGATGAATGACTGCCAAATTTGGTCTCATGCTTCCTCATTCCTAAGAAGATTTTTCAAGTGGAAACATTTAAATAAAACTTTTCCCAAATGAGATTTTTTCATGTGGAAACATTAAATAAAAAAAAGATGTTGCGCAACACTTCATAGAGACACTCTACTTAAGCTAGTCTCGGTTCTGAACATTTCCTGAAAAAAATTATAACTGTATTTCATAACAATTTTACTTCGCTAATTTAAGAGAGCTTACAAGACGTATGAAGAATGTTATATAATTTATAAATTGTTATTTACAATAACGTTTAAAGGAATTTTATACAGACACCTTTTTTTCTGAAGACATTGTCAACCGAAAATTTATATTTATATTGATGTTCTTATGAATAATGTTAATATTTACCACTATAAAAAAAATAATAATAAGTAAAAAAACGATTTATTAAAGTTTTATGACAAAAGTTCATTTTTGCTAAGACGACACTAAAACTTTGTCCGACCTTGGCCTTTTCGTTGTTACCAAACTCTACGAATCGCTGGCAGAATATATTATTCTACATGTACGGTTACAAGTATAAAAATGGAATTTGACGTTTATAAAAATGGAACTTTTGTGAAAGTTGAATCACTGAGTACAAAGGGACTACTGCAAGAAAAAAACATAAAAAAAATTCTAGCATGAAAGACCGAAGATCACGAAACTTTGTTTAAAAAATGATATGATGTATTTTGTATTATTTTATAGTAAGCCCATATGTGGTCTATCATTAATTTTTATTTTCCAATGGCATTTTAGAACGGTAGTGATATCACTACTTATATTAAACTGAAGTGATTGTTTATCATTAGATGCGAGTTAATAAAGAAAAAGTTAGACTACAAAGTTTCACTGATTCAAGTATTTCTTGAAACATAATTAGTTGTGTGAAAGAGGCACGAAACATGGGGCTTAAAGAAGGTTGGCATTATTTCGATAGCCCAGAGGCAGCAGATTTTCAAATCTGCTTCTGCAAATGTGAACACAGAAAATTGAGTGAGTTGATGGACATGTTGAAAAAGTATTAGAATGAAATAAATGATTGACTATACCAATCCTCGTTTATAGTATCTACCAGTTATGGGTTGGACTTTTTTATTCCAGCCATCAGCTTCTGTTTCCAAGATCTATTGCATCTACCTCCTTGAGACCTAATGCCTTCAAATCCTGCAGTATGGTCTGTGTCCAGGACTCCTTTGGACAACCCCTTTGACGGGTTCCAGGCACTTGATGCTCAGTTACGAAAATTATCGTATCGTTTTCGCTTCACTTCACATGGCCAAATCATCGTAAGCAATGACGACATGCATTCTTCAGTGTACTTAGTCCCAATAGGTTCAGGATCTTGGCTGTATGGATATGGTCCCTTAGGTCAACATGCTGCATGCAATAAATCATCTTCATGTCAGTTCGGTGAAGCTTGCCGTTCGAGTTTTGTTGTCATCAGCCACGTCAATGCACCATACATCAAAACAGAACGTATAACTGAGATGTACAGCTCTGAGCATAGCGGCAGAAAAATGCCACGCCGCATCAGCACCGAGACAAGAAGGTGCCATCTGCCCCATGCTGCTCGTATGCGTCCACTGTTTATCAGCACAATCCAGCACACCCCCAAAATCCAGATACTGAAATGATGTAACAGTTTCGACCCCGATAATCGTATCATCATCTAGGCCCTGCTGTCATAGGTTGATTCAGGCGGGGCATAAAAAATCAGTCACTTCCCTCAGTGAGCAGGTAATTCTTGGACATCACTGATGACATTGTAAGCATTTAATCGAATTGCTTCCCTTTCCAGCTCTACATTGAACAAAGCCAATGACCAGAGACCACTGGCTCAACGAAGCCACCGACGATCATAGTTTTTGTTTTGTCAAGGTTTACCTATAGACTGTGATCGGCGTGCTGGGTATTCCAGACCTCAAACTTTCTTGGTCCGAGGTCACCGTTTTCTTCCTATCATCTGCATATATCACATTCCATGTCATCTGGGCATATGTCAAATGATTGACTATATGAGCGTAAATGAAAGTCCTTGCATCAGATTGACACTCAATGATGAAAAAATCACATTTATTTCTTGAAAAGGAGAATGCACAACTTCTTGTGTCTTACATTTGTCGATTTGTGCAACTACCCCAACATAAATAATATCATGGCACATTACATCACCACTATTGATGTTCTGGCCCTTTGTGGAAATGTATACTTGTGGAAATAATATATTCATTAGCGTGAATAAGATTAATGCTAGGAAGCTACAGAAACTACCTGACTGCTCTGAACTTACCGATCTCAAACTCCAAAATACTCTAATTGGTTATCCAACAACAAACTAATCATAAATTATTCGAAATGTGCATACATTATCTTTGGTCCAAAAAAACTCACCAACCAAGTTCCTAACTTAAACCTATTAATTAATGGCATTCCTATATACCACACCGTCAACCAAATTCCTTGGAATCACAGAAAATCTCTCATGGAATGCAAAATCAACAAACTCATAGGCATCTTCTAAAAAATCAAATATAAACTCTCTCTTTCTGCTCTTCACATGCTTTATTATACATTCATTTACCCTTATCTAACCTACTGCATCACACTATGGGGAAATAGTCCAAAAAGCCATCTGAATAATTTAATACTCTCCCAAAAAAGATCAATACATTTAATTTTTAACCTCAAAGTTTATTCTCATACTAAACCTCTCTTCCTAGCAAAAAAAATTTTACCACTTAATTTCATTTACCTTTACTACTTTAAATTTATCAACAATCTTCTCCCATCTGACTTTATCAACTTCTACACATTAAGCAACTCCATCCAATCTACAACCACTAGACACACCCCTCTCTTTTATACCTACAGTCTTATTCAGTCTCCGCATATTCAACTTCATAACTTTTATTCACTTATTTGATATGTTGTTGATTATGAATAAACTTTAAAAATGAAAAGAAAATAAACATCTGAACACTAGAGATAAACATTTAAGCCCAGTTTGAAAATGGGCTTAAATGGGTTTGAAAGAACTTTTAGATTGTGAAAACAAAATTCATTTTGTTCCAAACCTAAAGTAAAAATATTGAACATTGTTAAATCAACCGCTAATCTTATAATTAGTGGTTTGAAACTAAGGGAAAACATATTACCAGATTTCCACTGAAAGTTTGGATCTTCTGGACAGCCTGTTTTTGGTTTGGGAATGCCATAGGTACCACGTGGCCAGGAACATTCAGCTGCAAAATAAAAAATATTATTTCGCTAAATCAGTTATATTATTTGTGATTATTACAACATAAAGTGTCAAAGTATCAAAACAAGAATATCACTTGTGATTGATTCATTTGCAGCTTAACATTTTATGAATGTTGCTTATAAAAAGAAAACAAAAAAGCATTATTGTGCAATCAAATGGTATAATTTTCAAATACAGCAATTATTTATTTTAAAATTATTTAAAATTTGATTTTTTTGGGTTTTTAAGTTGTATTCATTGTAAAAAAATCATTTCTGTTTTTTTGTTACTTATTGATAAGAGTGATTTGAATGTTATTGGTTGAAACATAAATGTTTTTTTGAAGGGACATTGGCAGATAAATTTTAATAAAAGTACGGTATGGTCATTTAGATTGTATATCACAAACTGCTTTTAAAAACTAATTATTCTTAAAGTTATTGATCAAAAAATCCATGTCAGAAGTTTTTATGGACAAAAATTCTTGCAAATCTAGCTTGCAATGACAATACTACTTTTTTTGAAGCCGCAGGTCAAACAGAAGTGGAATATTTTTCAAGTGACATGGACTCAGATGGTACTGCAAGAAGTATTATAAAGATACTCTATTGTGGAAAAAAGATATAAAAAAATGTAATTTTTTGAACCCTTTGCATTCAGGATTTTTCTCTGATAAGTCTTGCAGATTTACATAATGATATAGAAATTGACACCTTTTAAGAACTGACAACAAATTTCTGATGATGGAATAATGCCTCAAATTGTTGAACAAACTCTTTTATATGCTACTCAGGACAAAAATGTTTGCAATGAAATAAAGAGCGTGATGAGTATTTTTTTATTGTCAGGTTACAGTTTGCTTCCAAATAAAAAATTATTGGAGCAATCAATCTGATTTTGGAGTGTCCACCATTGATAAATCATAATCTTTTTATGTAAAACCATTATCATTATTATCGTTAGACGTTAGTTATACAATTTTATGGATGGAAAGCAAAAAATGAAAAAATTGTAATTGATTAGTTATTTTTTATTAGTTAATGTTAATAGTAAGTCAATATTAGTGAGGAATGATCAATTATTTTATTTTATTAAATTAATTAAAATTACAAAATATTTTTAAATAGTGTAGTATAGTAGTTTAGTATTATTTTAATTTTATATTTATTTTAATATTATAGTTAGTAAAATGAATAAAAGTAATTGCTAGCTACTAGTAATTGTAATGGTTTTTTGAAGCAAAACTTGTGTTTATTAAATGCACAAAATTGTACAAAAATATTTCATTAAACAAATTATTAGATAAAATATAACCTGATAAAATAATACAAAACGCGCATACTACAACAGATTTCAACATTTTAAAATAAAATATTAAAAAAAACCATCGCTAAACTAAAAATTATCATTTGTAATTCGACGTCAGTTGAAGCATCTATGACGGACATTTAATTTGTCTAAAAAATCGATGAATAATTTCATTTCTTTGCTGTGGTTCTACTCATTATTAATAATAGAATTATTAATTATTATAATATTTATTTATTATTATTATAATCTATTAATATTATCATTATTATTATTTGGTTTGATTTAATTCAGACACACAAAATCATCAGTATGAAGGAGAATTTGGAATCAGTAAAATTTTTGGAGCTTTAGATGAACAGTAAAACAAGCGGGCATAAGTATGAGATTTTTAACAAAAGCTCAGGATCGATGAAACAAAGTTTTTCAGCTATAGAAGTGAAATAATATGGACAGAAACAACTAATAACTTTAAAGCAAACTTGGCAAAAATAATATATTAAAAGTCTCAGAGTTAAAATCTCGATCTTCTTGGATTGCTATAAAAATCTTTATTAGGGGTACGTTATGTTATGCTAAAATGTGAAAAAAATAAAATTTTCCTTCAAGATTTGTTTTTTGGTTTAATATTAATGTAGCACGTATGCTATGTCAAGTTTTCAATTCCATTTACGAATTAGCAATTCACAAATTTAGAATTTCTTATATTTACAGTTCCATGGTTTTTTGTCTAATTTGAAACGGTCGTATGAGGAGATTCAAAGTATCGTGAAAAAAATTTTTCTCTGTTTAATTTTTAGTTTGGATATTTGACTGACAAGAAACCATTGTATCTAGTAAAAATCCTCAAAAAAAAGATTTGGTTACCCAGTTAAGCTTGTTGTCAAATTAGCTCAGTCGATATAATTTCAATTTCTCGCGCTGCTATTACGAATACTGTACGTCCGAACTTGGCCGTTGCATTCATAATGTGTGTCGTGTGGTGCAACAATTACACTTTTTTGGCACAAAAATTTTAACTGAAAACGTTTAATTATCATACAAGGATAATAGATTTTAATTTTGGCGTGTAAATTTGTTGTAAAATTTTATTCAAAATACTAATTTTCGTTGTAAAGTTGACTGTACTGATTGCTTCAAATTTCAGGGTTGCAATAATATATAATTTGTAGTTAAAATATCTGAATTATTGATAATTTATTGATAATTTAGTTATTTTTAAATTTAGTTGACACGTGGTTTTGATCAGCCAAATTCTCACTTGGCTTTGTTCAGATGACATGGATCTAGACTTTTTGAGAGAAGAGAACTGGCCGAAGATGGGCAATACAGCCGATGAACCAGCCAAAAAATTGCACGAAAGGTGCGGAAAGATGTCGCAACTGCTATTTTCGCTAACCGACTGAGTGAAACAGTTGGAGGCAAAAGATAAGAAGAATTAGTTAGAAATCGAAAGATTGAAGACGGACCTCGAATCGGCAAAAAGGTTGCAAAAACTTCCATCAGTACTGAATGGGTTGATGTAGTCACCAGAGGTGCAAAAAGTGTAAAAAGCCTGTAGATAAGTTAGTAGTGGCCAACACCACTATAGGTGAGATGCAAGTGAGAGAAAAATGGAAAAAATTGTTATCTACGGAGTACCAGAATCATCTGCTTCAAATGTAACAGATAAAAAAGCACACGACGAAACCAAAATTAGAAAAATTATCAAGGCAATAGATAAATCTGACGTTTGCATTTTCAGTTGCATACTTAAAAAGATTGAGATCAAAAGACCTAACTAAACTTAGGCCATTATTGGTTGATTTGTCTGATGCTGCTATCAGGAATCCCGTCCTCTTAGCAGCTGTTTACATTAGTCTAGATTTGACAGAAGCTTAAAGACAACTGGATTATAAATTGAGACAAGAACGAAACCGATTGAATACAAAACTCGGTGCAGACTCACCCTTTCGATATGGAATCCGTGGAAATCAGGTGCAGAGATTCAGGAAACTTCGTTAATTTAGATTTAACTTATGATAAAGCAGGTTTTCTAAATATACACAGCACCCTACATTTTTCTTCAGATGAATTTTTCATCATCATACTGAAAAAGAATATCAAAATTGCTGTAACATCAAGAAATGCTCATTAGGCACAATCATTAAATATTACTCTCCGATCCACAGACTTGACTATGTTTGACATATTTATTCATTTATTTAAATTTACTCCTAAATATTTTTGAATGATAATTTACATAACCTTAAAAGGGTACACTATATGATCATTTGCTGCGCGGCGGAAAACGTTCTCTTTTTGTACGTCAATAAACGCCGCTGCCAGCCTAGGGCTGGAAGTCACTTTTTCACAATTGGTTATCCCCGGGTTGGAAAACACGAGCCTAGCAGCAGACCTATTGCACTTCGCTTGCCAGTCGGTTAATCCGGCTTTACTATCCGTTGACAAGTCTTCTTTTGTCATGTTTTAGATAAGACGAACAGAAACTCATTTAAATACGTATATTGTAACAAAACAATGTTCTTTTTCAAATATTTTCAACTAAAAAAGAAATTATATTGAATGTTCTAAACAAAATAGATAGCTAAAACAAAATCAATTTATAACAAAAACAGGACAGCAATAAAATAAAAACACCCAACCAAAACGAAGTACATTAAACTAACCAAAAGAAACGCAGAACAATATCGAGGATATAACAAATTGTCAAACGAACGACAAACCACAAACTAGGAAATAAGAAATAAGAATCACGCTAGAAAAAATAAAACGAAAAAAGTCCTAATCATACTCGCACATACTTACAACTAATTCGCCTACATTCGTACAATACCACACCAAAACATTTTTATCAAAATGAACATATGATCGATTCATACAACATGCGCGCCAAGGAAACCAACATGCACACATGACCAGTCCACACAACATGCTACCATGAAAAACTTACAACATCCCCTACCCTTTAGAACGTCGTCCTAACGTTTACTTTCACAGATCCTTGTTGCAGTCAGAGATGTTAATTGTCATTTTTTCGAGCTCGGAGTTATATCTTCACGGCCTCCTTCTTTCTCTTTTTTTTTGCGTTGGTGCTGCGATACCAGCCGACTCGATGGGCAATATACTATCTCCTTTCGTCCATTCCTGAGTACTGATAGTCGAGGACGGCTAGTCCATTGAGATGAAAATTTGGCTTTCATCGAGCTGGTCCTCCAAAATCTAGTTCACCAGTGGTGGTCGGACGGCAGGGCAGTGTTTGACACCTAGGTCTTCCGTCTTCAAGCTGGCCAGATTACATTCGCCTGCAACCCCTTTGTTTGACGCGGACACAATCGTTGATGATTTTTCTTGCTGTTTCCTGTAGCTGCTTCGGCTTGTCAACTCCCGGTTCTCTTCCGGTTGATTCTACTCGTCCGGTAGTTCATAGACCACAAATTTGTTTGCCCACCACTTGGCTTTGCTCGCGTAACTTTTACGCTTTGCGGGTTCCTTCGCATAGTTAGAGGGGAAACCGGAGCTACGAGCAATTCGCTAATTGCAGCCTTTGCGATAATATGCCCTTTCCACAATTCCTCTGAAGGAGCATCTGGGAAAGATGACTTTAGAGCGTTGACAACCTTTTCTGGCATATTGCTACCAAAATACGAGACTGCCTTTCCAGCAATCACATCTGGCTGTCCGACGTTCTTCTTCCCGCTTCAATACACCTGTACATGTGCCTTCTGTAGTTACAAGCCAGCATCCTTCTCTCACATATGATACACTGTTTCATGTCTATCCAAAAAATTAAAATAGCCTATCAACATAGCAATTTTAATTTATTTATGTGGTCAAGCTCTGTCGGTCTTTTTTTTATCGCCGCGTTAACTGGAAAGATTAAATGATTCACTATTATGTATGGGCTCACGTATAGGTTGACTCATTTTGGGGATCTGCCTTTCCAAGGCCTAGGGTACAAGCACCACATCTTGTCTCAGAGTCATAAAGTGAAGACTTTGACTTTTGCATGGTATAACGACTTCCTATACAATGCTTGTGTCTTTAGTCGTTCCCGAGCTAACTGGTGAGCTATCAATGACCAGTTGTGCACTTAATTCACAAATTCCGAGTTGGACTCTCATAGGCTAGCTTTTTTAGACAATCGATATAACAGGTTCACCAGCATCATGTTTTCTCTACCTAAAAATAACCTGTTTGGGGTAAACCCGGTTGCAGAATGTATACTTGCTCGATACGCTGCCATAACATGTGATAAATGTTCGTCCCAATCACTCTCGGATTTCTACACTATTTTGGCCAGCATTGAGTTAAGAGTTTTGTGGAATCATTTTATCACCGCTTTGGAGGATGAATTGTACGGTGATGTTTTTAACTTTTTGATTCCTAAAGTGTGTAAAAGCGTGGTAAACAGTTCATTTTCAAATTCTTTACTTTGATCAGTAAGTATTTGCAGCGGCCTTCATCTTGTTTTCCGTTGTATCTTGCGTATTCCTAACCTGGGGGTTAATTAAATTTTTTAAAACTTCAAGGCGCTGTGAAATTCTTAATAAATCATCAATATTTTTTAGTTCCCTCTTTTTAACTTTGACTGTTTGTCCGGGTAAGCTCACGCCATTATTTTTATTACCGCTTGTGGCAATTTACTAAACGTCTCTCCTGGTTTGCGAGGGAGTCTGTAACTCATATCTATGACTCCTCATGACCACTAGTTCCATAACAGTTTTTTTTAGCTTTTTTACTTATTCTCGGTAGCCTAGCCAGCTAAGTCACAAAGAACTTCTGTTAACGAACAAAACAAATACGTCCAGACTCCATTGGTTATATCTAGCACATATCTAAAATTTTTCAAAAAAAAGTTATAAGACACCTGGTGCCAACAAACCTGTCTGGTTTTAACAGCTCAAGATGTCGGACCAACCTGTGATGTTCAGTATTTACACTCGGCTGATGATGCAGTGACTCCCCATGGTCGTTGGACAAAGGGTTGTGTTCAACTCTTTTATTCCCTTAACCTATTTCTGTAATTTAAAATATTATCACGCTAGCGTACGCATATAAACCTTTTAAACCTGTTCTGCACGAGCTCCGCGGACTTAAAACTCAAATGTCCTGCGCATGATTAAACCCATCATCTAAAAAACCTGGAGAAGTTTTACCGACAATCATCTCCGGTACTGACTGTTGGCCTACCTGATACCTGAAATCTAAAATATTCTCCGTAGGACCAGCCCTATCACCTAAAAAATTTGGAAAAGTTTTGTTAATGCTCCCATCGTACCTGTTATCTAAAAATTGGAAAAAGAGGTTTCACATATTTAAAATAATAATTTTACTTCGACCTGAAAGAGGATTATCACGTTGACGCTTCCCCATACCTGTCACGTAAAAATTTTGAAAAACAATTTTATTTTGACCTGCAAAACAATAAAACCCACTTATATGCCAAACCGAATTCATACATACAACCAAACAAAACCAAATGAAAAACATTTCAGCCTCAATACAAACCATGCTCGCATATCAACACATACAAAACCAATGCAATTCAAAAGATAAACCCATCAATAAAACTAGCTATTCACAAACGGTACCCCACATGAAGTAAAAATAAAAATAATGAAGTACAATAAAGCCCTGCTAATAATTATAATAACTAATAAAAATAATTGCAACAATAGATTATTAATCCAAAATAAACTTGATTAAAACGATAGAATCTAAGATAACAACGAAAATCAGTTAGGGTTTTTAAGTCCGACGCTCACACAAAAGATGTAGAAACAAAAAATTTTTTTCTAAATTCATTTAAACATTCAATTGTCACTCAACGTTTGAAAAAATTTAAATCTTGATTAACGCATTGTTTTTAATTTTTTCCCCACATCCATTCTTATCTATAAACCATAGAGAAGGTTGTAGCCAAGCAACTGCATTGTCATCTGTCGAACAATAACTTACTTACCTGACTGTCAATCAGAATACTGTAAATTCCACACTACAGAAACTGCACTTATCAACGTCTCATTTTATTCATGATCTTTAACTGATCATGATCTTTAACAGGGCAAAGAGTTTCACTCTTTGCCCTGCTTGATAAAAGTTTGGTAATCGATTTTGTCGACCGTGTGATATTCAATGATAAGCTGCAATCATTTTTTAGTATATCAGAAACAATTTTAGCATGGTTCAAATTCTATTTATTAAATTGTACATAGCAGGTTAAGTTTAGCAAATCATTTACCGACAAGTGAATCTCTGGCTTTTTATTGGTTACCAAATGAATCACTCACTACCTAGATTAAAAATCAGTACAAAACTAGGCGGCAAAATTAATCGTACTGGTTTAAAATTTGACCACATTAGTACCATACTGGATGATTTTTTTATTTAGAAATCAAAAAAAGAATTATCTTCAAGAATACATGATCGAAAAATTGGCGACACGTTCTACTCCCATGAACACACACACACACACACACACACCCATGAACTGCGTTCAATCGACAGTGATATGTTGCCACTTACTACCATAAGGCTTTTAATCGGCATGAAAAGTTTTTATCATTAAACCAATGATGTGGTAGAGTCTTTCACTCAGTCTCAGGTCATCAAACCTGTCACACTTGCAATTTTGGAAGGAAATTGAAAACATTTCTGTTCACGAGTAAGAAATCACCCGAAACTATGTTTAATCGCGCTTTTCAGAAATATTTTAATAAAACGGCATTATAAATCTTTGTCTTTTTCTTATTATAATTATATATCTAATTATAGGGATACTATTAATAATTTTAACTTTTCGGGTTTAATTTTGACGGTCTCTACTAAAAATAAATTAAACGGAAAAATTAACTGGGTTTTAAAACGCGAAGTTATTTGATGTAGTACAAAATTTTTATAGATCTGGGAAATGATGTAAAAATGTGTCCACTAAGTACTTATAAAAGATAAAGAAAGTTTGGTGTTTAAATAGAAGAAACATGCAGGCTCCAACAACACCGACGATCAGTGGTGCATTCACACGTAAACAACTTGATTCAAAAAGGTCATCATAAACATGGAAAGTTAAATACGTAAACGACTAGGAACGAAACAAGCATCATTCAATATATGCACATTGCAAAGTGATGATGGCTCGTGAAGGAACAGAACTTATCATGTACGTTTCACGCCTGTCCGAACCAACGCAAAAAGACGCGAATCAGCAGCATGAATAAAAAAGGTACAAACTAAAAATGACTAAGACGTTACTATTTAATATTAGAAGCCAAAATTTGTGTAATTTTGTAAAATTAATACCTCGATAAATCCAAAGATGTTTTAATAATATTTTTATTTCCTATAACAAAATATTTGTGAATTAATCGCACATGTTAACCATTAATCACAAATATAAACATAAAACACAACTCAAAGATATACAAAATTAGCGTGCACTGCACATACATAGCTACATCGTCTTC